CTGTTATTTTACTTGGATTTTGTTTTTCATCCAGTGTAGCAATGCCTTGATTTGAGAAACACTTGAAATCTGTGTGGGTCTCCTGACATCTGTTCTGATTGAGATAGTGAATTTAAAAACAGGATTTGAAGGCACCTCCCCCAGCCTTAAAATCCAGTTGCTCAGAGCTGAATGACAGTCTTTCATCTTATCCTTTTAAAACTGCACCAGAGGTCACCTTTTACCTCTGTTCATCTCTTTGCAAATTCATCTGCAACCTCAGTCTCTTCACAGCTAGAAAAAGTCCTTCAGTTTCCAAGCTGGAAATATTCTTGCCAGTTTGTCCACATTTGTATCTCAGCCAGGTCTGGGATTTTAGTCCCCTTACCTATCATAGAAATCTTCCTCTCTAATCCTCTGCAGAAAACAAGATATCCTTTTTATTGGATAGTATCCATAGAGTGATTAATGAGGTAAGTAAGTACCCATTTGATGCTCTAACCCACAGGTAGAATGAGAGCTCAGAAATACTCATTTATCATTCTTCCTGTTCAAGCTGTGATTTTGGCCTCAGTCCTTTGGTTGGATAAATGTTGATGATTTCAGTTCAACTGTCAGTTTGAATAATTTCCCAAGTACATACTACTTTTGATTAGTATTCTGTGAGAGCAAGGGGGATGTATAAGAAACTTGTCACCAACTGCCTTGACTGTGGTGTTGTGGCAGTCTCTCTTCATTCAACAGTACATAATACTACATGAAGAAAGACCAGAAAAGACTAAAATGGTTCATTAAAGTTATATAGGTTTTATGAAAGTCCTGCAGAAGTCATTGGAAACACTCCAGTCATTTTTTGGATGAGGCTTATGGTTGAGGGATTCTTCTATAGTCCACTTTTATCCTCATCACTTAGCAACTGTATTTTTCCATTCTCTTTTTAAGAGGAAAGGCTCTGATTCTTCCTTAAAATGCTGTCACCACCCTACCTGATGATTCAATATCGTACTTGAAAAAGAACCATCTCTGCAATTTTCTTCTGCCTGCAGAAATCTGGGGTGCTTCCACTCTTGTCTTGAGCTAAGTGTCATGGCAGCCAGTGAAAAAGTTGCAAATGTCTCCATTGCATTTATAGGTTCAGAAGATTTAGTTTGTAAAAACTGTAAGAACTCTTTGGAAAGATTACCTATTAGAGGAGTGGTTAATCAGCCTGGAGATGATGTATTCAATGGATTTCTCAAATGCCACATGATAAGTGTAGTTTCCAGCAGCTGGATAGACCTGAGTATCTCCATTATTTTCTCTTGAGATTAGACTCTTCTTATCCCATTTCCTCACCAATGAGCTTTTACTTTTCAGTTAAACTAGGTTCAATTAGAAAACCAATCGTCTGCCAGAAGTCTTGCACATACCCTGGGGAGTTCTGGAACTGCTGCCAATTAAAGCAAAATGCTACTGATCAGATGCAGGTTTAGGGGAAGCTGTTTAGTTTCCTGACAGACTTGGTGGAATAATTTGTTTAAGAATAACATTTAGTGCATATTTAACAGGTCTGTCTGGGGGTTTGTTTGTTTGTTTGTTTGTTTTTGTTTTTGTTTGTTTTGTTTTGTTTTGTTTTGTTTTGTTTGCAATGGGAACCTATCCCACTTCAGTGGGCAAACATTTTTCAAAGTAAACATTGAAACATTGTGCACTTTTTGTTCAAATTTTCATGTTATTGTCTCTAGGAAGGTAGACAGTATTGGTCAGTGAAGAATGTCAGCAGTGACTCTTGGTGTGTATTAACTGTATCATCTGGTTTTGCTCTAGAATGTTGCTTTAAGAAGGTATTCCCCATATGAATGAGTCAGTTGAACTGATAGAAGTTCCTATGGCATCAACTGGTTTATTTTACTTGAGGTTCTGCCCCCCCTCCCCCCCAAATGTTCTGGCTACTTTTTTAGCTCTGACTAAAATTAGTTTAGCTTATACATCATGGAGTTCTCAATTCTGGAATAACAAAAATACCTTGTTAAAAGAACCTCCCTGAAAGGCAAACGTGCCTCTTTTCTGTCCCCTAAATGTACCTTTAATCCCATGTACACAGAACATTGCAGCACTGCTTTTATGCATTTCCACCTGCTTGTTCTTGTGTCAGGTCCTGCTCTGCTTCAGTGTATTCAATGCAGAGGCTACAGAGCTTAAAGTCTCACTAGGTTAAGCACAAGAAAAGTTGTGTAGATTCTATGCATATGTCCCAGCTTTGGTCAGGGGTTCAGTCATCGCTCTTTGCTGCTTCTGACGTCTGTATGGATCCTATGTGGCATGAATTACTGACTAGTGTGAATGACTAGAGTTTTGTGGAGTTTTTCAAGAGGTCATGGTAATCCGTGAGTTTAGCACTTTTTGCAGGTGGTGAAAACCTAATATCAAAAATAAACAGAAATTTGACCTTATATTTGGGTCCATACCTATGCATTAAGGTTACTTTTCTAGGGTACTACTGCAAACAGAGGAAAGCATATTGGCTACACAAGGTATTTACTAGCTTATTTTAAGGTCTCCTGAAAGTTTGTTATGCTTCACAAACATGTTTTTTCATCTTTGCATTCACCTTCTCCATTAAGTCAGTTTAGGCACAGCTTGTTCTGCAGGTAGGTAAAGTCTACAGAGATGTGAGACCAAAGGGATATCCAAATGTTGCAAATCCTCCCCACTACAGTCTTGCAATTTGTTGCAGCCTCCCAGTATCAGTGAAGCAAATTAGATACTTGAGTACAGACTCATATGGTTTAGAACTTTCCTCCAAGTTCCAACATTACATATATATAAGATCTATAAATGTCTTACTAATTTGTGTGGTTACTTCAGTCCCTGTAAATGTCTGAAATTCCAAAAAAAATTTTGTAACTGGCATTTTAAATGTCTAAACCTTTAAAAAACTCTGTTAACAGAGTGAAACATAAGTTAAAGTTAAGTAAAAAGTTAATTAAAAAAGGTAAAGTTAAACATATTTATGTTGCTGCAGTTGATTGACTTTGTTTTCTGTAATTTGTCATGATTTTATTGAAAATGGAGATAGAAGTAAAACACACAAAAAAAAAAAAAAAAAAAAAAAAAAAGGCAAGCGTCTTTCATCCCCTATTGCTGTAAAATGCAGCAGGTAGTGGAAAGATTTTAAAGGCTGAGACCTAACTTCTGTCCTACTTCCCATCTGACTAATGTTCAGGTGAGTTTGGATAAGCTTTGGATTATATTTTAGAACTCATTCTAACATGATATGCCCATGGATACCTTTTGTCATTGCTAAATCTAGTATGTCACATTCTACAGCTAACAGGGCAGGGAATATGTGAATAGCTTGATACAGATAGATATCCATCATCCAGTGATAACTCAGTCTATTTCTGGCACTATATTTATTTTCCATTTTAAAATAAAGACTAGAAAGACATTTGAAAGTGATAGGGAACAGTTCCATCAAGTTTCTGAGCTTTGAGAGAGGAATTCCCCAAGCACGGTGCAACTTCCTTCACATCCATCAAGGGCTCTTTGTTATAATTATCCTGTTAAAGTGAGATACCAGCTCTGATGAGAAGCAGTACCATGGAGAATGCCTTTTACTCCAATGCTTTTATCAGATTCCAGTTGGTAGTTTACAAAGCAGCCTAGTTCAAAGCAAGCTAGCTGCAACAATCTCCTGGAGTGGCTTTGAATGACAGGGCTCCTTAAAGGCTTCCCAGCTTTATATATTGTTAAGATTTTATTACATGGCTTGAGTGACCTGGTTTGTGTAATCCACAATGGATGAATAACTGATGGAGTTATTTCCTCTACAAACTTCAGGGGTACATGCTAGTACAGATTCTGCTGACTGCCTTGAGTAAATGTGTTGTTCTACTGGGCAAATAGCATCATTGATTTCAGGGTTGCATAATAGAGGTAATCAACTACATTTGGCATTGAGAAGTGGTTGGATTTTACCACACTTGCTGTGTATGTACTGTTTTAATAATTCCTCAGAATGCCCCATGGAAACCATGGGACCAAGCCCTTGTCAGGACATGTCACGATAGTTTCATCCCACTGTAAGTACTGGCTTCAAGTGACATTTTCTTTGAGTTTCCTTACTGATCTTGAAATAATTTCAGAATAATTACTTTTAATTATTTGTGTTATTAAGTGGATTTTTATTATTTGGAGTACCACAGCGCTTTGTCACTCTGGGTAAAAGAAACACAACCAGTACTTCTACTGCAACTTATTTGTTGAATATTTGAAACAAGTCAAGGAAATTTGCCTCAGGTTTTGCCCCATATAGATTTCAAGCTGATGAGGGACTTTGTACTTTTAAGCATATGTAGCATTGGTGTACATGGCCAAAAAAAGTTACTGCTATTAAATGTTGCATTTTGGCTTGTATTTGGAAAAAAATCTAGTCTGTTTGATAAGATCCCTGTGCATTGGAGAATGTTTTGTTTTTTTTCAGTTGCAGCTTGCCTTCTTCATGCACCTGTGGTCCCATCAGTGCAGAGCGAGTGCAGGACATTTATATTACATTGCACAGCATGTGAAGGTGCAAGCAGATATACTCCTCCTTTGGTGTCTGTTCCTGAAGACCACATAGCTCTAAATGACATTGATTTTCTTGACATCAAACTTGAACTTGAAATGGAAGGTGCTGGAAAACACAAAGTACATGTGGCCACTTGGAGATGGGTCAGTTCTAGCTAGGAAATAAGCCCTTCTGCGCCAAGGCATGGTCTTGATATGGGATTTTAAAATATGTTTATCTCCTTCTAAGAGCTGAGGTTTTGATTTTTGATACTGCTCCATTTGGGATGAAAGGAAAATTTTGAAGTCAGATGTGTTTTCCTAGAATGGACAGTTACATTTCCTAATGAGTTCCAAAATTTTGTATCTGAATAACAGTACATATTTCAGCCTCGAGGGCCATTAGAAATCCAGTGAGTTTATTTAACTATGGACGTTTGGAGATGACCGAGATTGTCATGTTGACTACATTTGCCTTTTATTATTTGCAGGGGAATGTGACCTTTTCTTGCTCAGAACCACAAGTTGTTCCTATAACCTTTGTCAGCAACAGCCGAAGCTACTTGCTACTCCCTGGCACTCCTCAAATTGACGGTTTGTCAGTCAGCTTCCAGTTACGAACATGGAATAAAGATGGCTTGCTTCTGTTCACTGAATTGTCTGAAAATTCAGGACCTCTCTTGGTTTACCTTCGTGGTGGGAGATTGACACTGCTTATTCAGAAAGACACAGAGAACCCAGTGGAAATCAATGAAGGTATTTAATTTTTGTTTACTCTCATCTGTCTCCCTTTAAAATAAAAAAGTCCAAGCCCACAGGATGAAAGAATGGTGAAATAAGGAAGCATCCAATCATATTTATTTATTTATTTATTTATTCAATTTCCCCATGTTTTCCAGTGGTAAAACCACCCCGTACTGTTTGAGGTAGATCTAAGGGTGGAAAGTTGGCATGGCAAGATCTCCAGGCTCAATCTACCTGAGAATTAGCTCAACCTCTGTATTCTTAAATAGTCAGGGTAAATTTTCTTCAGTCAGGTCACATGAAGACCTTTCTGTTTCCCATCCTCAGATGCTATGTGGCCATGCTGGTTGGGAGACTGGGAAGTTACTTTTCTGCACAGTTTGAATACCCAGTTTCCAAAAGTGGATGAGTAATAGATTGATGGATCTCAGATGCAAGGAAAAAAAAATAAAAATAAAAAAAAAATTCTAAAAAAGCAGCTGTTTAAAAATATATAATATTAAAATATTTCCAGTACATACTAAAAGAGGACAGATGTGTCTATTAAAAGAAGCAGAGAGAAAATCTGACAGAGTTGTCAAAGCAGAGCTGTTCTGTATGTGTTTCATTCCCCTTTGTGATAGAAAATGAGGCAGCTCTGCATCTACCCTTATTCACATAGATTGCTACAGCCTCAGCTTGCTGCAATTGAGTGCTGAAAACTGAGCTTACAGCCTTTATTGCAGTCCTAATGAAATTGTTGACAAAGCTGAGACAGTGTCAATATTTAGTTTGGTGTATTTGTTTTTGTATGGTTCTGAAATCATGAACCTGAGCCCAGCCTTTGGTGCTATGTAAAGCATTGCTAAACTGCCTACTTACACATGGAAAATATGCAGAAATTGCCAGTGCCATGTTCTGCAGATGTCAGGTACTGACAATAAACTCATGCTTGCACAAGAATGGACCTATTTTAGCCCCAAATGAGACCTATTTTGTTTTTACATCTTTTCAAACTTCAAGAACATATTTTACTTCAAAATGGACTTGTTCTAGGTGAAAAATCATCCATTTTTGTTGTGAAACCAGACCCTTATTCTATGGAAATTGTGCATGCATTAACAGCCATTACTGTGGAAATTGTCTCATTTTCAAATTCAGAATGAAATGGCTTTTCATATATGTAACACCCACAATATTTTTTTTATTTTGTTTTGAACTGTTCTCACACCTCTTTGTGTCGTTAAGCACTCATTTGTTTCTTCTGAAAGTTACCTTAACAAAAAAATATTCCATTAGGGAGGGGAGTAAATACTAGTTGTCTGTGCCTGATTTCAGTGACTCCAGCCTGATGGTAATACATTTTGAACTGTAGTTAGGTTACTTTTGATCTGCACCACTGCTTGTGAGCTCAGAAGCTTGCCCACTGATTTTCATACTGTCACAATAGAGGATGTGGAGTTTCTTTGTAGCTTTGGTGCTAATTCAAGAGCCATGAGATGCAATGTTGATTTTCAGAACAAGGAAACAGAGAGGTTATTTCCCACTTTGCACAAGTGTCTAAAAGAGAAAGTGGCTACCCAGTACTATAATATCTTATGTACCTCCATAAATTCCTGGTCAGGGCAACAATCCCAGCTCTCACAAGACCCACATCGAATTCCAATATAGAAAGACTTTAGTATGACCATCAGTAAGACTGTGCACTAATTTAGTGCTGAAGGATTTTAAGAAACACAAATCCTACTGGTACTATTGGAGTTTGTCAGGTTTCCTATTGGAGACTGAGACAAAGTATGACCATCTCACTGAATCTAATCCTCTGCAGTCTCAGATACGTTTAGTACGAGAGGCTCAAAAGAAGCCAGTGCAGTCCTGTGAGCTATAAGCATTTCCCAACAGACTGAAAGTAGATGTAAACACACAAAATGTTAATACTGTGCTACCAGAAAGGTGAAGGTCCTGGCTAGCTTGATGAATGCCTGAGGTACCAGAGGCAGGTTATATTAAAATGTGGGATGACCTCCTCAAATACTCTCAAAAGCTTTCCCTTTCTTTGGTCTTTTCTTCTATATCAGTTTGTTTCCAGAGGTAGTGACTTCTTTTCAGCTTTCCACGAGTTCTTCCTTTTTTGGGGTTACCTGCACATTTGTGGTCATAAGTTGGAAGGAAAAGGAGTTCTGAAGAGCACAGCTGTCTCCTACACCACTTTTTTCACTCTTCATACTTTTTTTTTTTTTTTTTTTGCCAGGCACCAGTCTTCATGATGGGCTTTGGCATTCTGTTAACATCAATGCCAGAAGACATCGCATTACCCTGACACTGGATAACAATGCTGCCACTGCTAGCCATGCAACCACTGTCTCAAGAATCTACTCTGGGAACAGCTACTATTTTGGAGGTAGGTTGTTTCAGGCAGATGCAGGATGGGTTTTCATGACGCAGATCCTCAGGTGCTCACCACTGAGGTCATCTCAGGTGCACTCTGCAGCTAGAGGCAAATGTAATAACTGACGTGTAATAACTTTTAGACCTCCTGCAGTGCATACAACACTGTAGAAAGATCAAAGAGTTTTGGTCAGCCCTGACATAGAACAAGCAGAACACAGCTGTAACAACAGAATACTGGTAGTGGTAGCTAATGGGTACCTAGGTCTAGCTTGGCAAAACATGCAAAAGCTACATAGTTGTATGAGCCACAAGTATTTTTTTCCTAGTTAAAAGGCCTGAAGACTATTAGTGTTATTAATATTCCTGTAGATATCACTGTCCTGATCAGGCTCAATGACTTTAGACTTCAGCTGTTAATTTACATATGGCTCAGGTCTACAGGTATTCAGGTACTGTGTTCTCATGGAAATGAATGTAGATCTGCCTTAATTTTGTAAATGGAAGGAATAGTGTTGAAAAATAATAGCTTCTACATTTTGGAGTGAAAACATTAATTTAGATAAAGGGAGTGTCATCAACTGTCATTTTATCTAACATATTTCTGTGTAGTACTTATAGTGAGACTTATCTCAGTGAACTTTCTGGATAGAGCACTAAGCAAGGATGCACAGGAACCTTTGGATCTCAGAGCTGGCCAAACACAGAAGAAGCTCAGATACAAATGGCTTTCTTGCTTGCTGTCCACAGGATTTAACCCTTTTACTCTGTGCATTGCCTCAGCAGCAGAATTTAGCCCATATTGTCTTTACAATTTGCACAGATTTATTTTTTTTTTTTTTTGTAAAGGGTTTCAACTGATATCAACTGTAGAGTTTAAAGAAATTTGAAAACCTCCACATTTTGATTTTGCTTAGCACATATGAAAACCTCATACTCTGATTTTTCCTGTGACTGTTCTGTCTTTTTTTTTTTTTTCCCCTTACTGAAGCATTTGTAACACAGAACAATGTATAGAAAGGAATGAAAACACTTGGAATAATGAACCTTTGAGCAGAAAGAGGTGAACATTCCAATATTATCCTCTGCATCTTCTCTTTTTCCCACAGGATGCCCTGACAATTTCACCGATTCCCAATGTTTAAATCCCATTACTGCTTTTCAAGGCTGTATGAGGCTCATCTTTATTGATAATCAGCCCAAAGACCTCATTTTAGTTCAGCAAGGCTCCCTGGGGAATTTTAGTGATTTACACATTGATCTGTGTGGCATCAAAGACAGGTAATTATTGTTTCCTCTTTCTTGTATTTGTTCTTTGTTCATCCTAGTGGTTTATAAATACAGGTTGCATTAAGTGAAAATTCTAATCTGCCAACATTATGGATATTAGGCATAATAGAGCTACTAATAGAAAATATTACAGCAACGAGAGGAGGACTGAAGGGGAAATGGTTTCAATTACATGAGGCTCTTCACATTGACTTGTAGGAAATAGCATATGCAAATTCAATCAAACTACAGATTGGTGAAAGGATTAAATTTTATGCATAAACAACATTTGATTACTTTGAAGTTTTAAAGGGAAATGAAAGAGAAGGAAAAATTATTTGATTCATCAGAACATGTCATCTCCTTAATACATTAGCTGGTTTTGCTTAAGTAGATCATTTACAGTTTTTCTTGTTAGCCATTACAGCACAGCATGTTTGTCATGGAGAAAGGGTACACCTCACACAACACACTGCCTATTCAGTAGGACAATATAAGGATGAAATATCTTTATCAACCAGAGACACATTTCAGTTTAAATACTGATATGAATCCCTCCTAAGCTAAAACCCGACAGGAAACCCAGATTTTCTCATAAAGAGTAGAAAGGAAATAAGCAACTGATTATATTATTTTTTTAAAAAAGTATTTAATAATTTTTCATTTGTTTCTTAGGGAATTTTAACATCTAAATTTTTCTCAATTATTTCTGCAAATGTGTTCTTTGAAGTTAGTATGTGGAATAACAGGCTCTGATTTAGTTTTTCAAAAATCTAGCTAAGTTCTGAAAAATGGAAATGGAACTACTGGAAATTTCATGTACTGCAGATAGTTAAGGGTTTAGTAAGAGATACTTTGAAAATACATTAAGAGCTTAAGCATTTAACATCATTTTTTCAGACATGTCACTTAGAGAGGTGGAGCTGAAGGCCATCCACCCAAATCACATTACACATTTTACATGTGTAGGGTGCAATCTTGAGAAAGGTTAAATTTACAGAATTGATTTCAGGAAGCTACAAAAGTTCCAAGATTCCAGGTGCAGTACTGAAGTTGAATGGTCATAGCAGCAAAGGAGAGTTGCAAAGCAGGATGATATTCCAAAAGAATAAGTATGGAAAATGCAGACAAGAGGTAAATCAAATCCTTTGAGTTATTTTTTTTTCAACACAACTGATGGCATAGTTGGTTAAAACAAATTATAGATGGAAAGATTTGGGAGAACAGGAGACTTGAATTAAAATCTAAAGACTGTATTGCTGCCTGCTCTGCATGGTGTTCCCTTAAGTATGTTTTTAAATCTTCTTCAAATTGGTTCATTACACAGAATTTGACATTTCCAGTCACTGTAATTCACCTCATCACTGTAGTTCATCTAGTGTTCTGTATCACAGCAGCTCTGGAGTATAGGAAAGTTGGGGTCTGGCTCCAGGCTTCAATATCCAGCTGCTCATTCTCTCTTGTATAAGGGATGTTAAAACTCTGTAAAAGCATCTTCTCTGAGAAATGTGATCTCGTCTTTCTTAATTAGAAGATTTATTGCTGTGTGCACTGTAAAGCACGTGTTTTTGTAATTTTAACGCGTGTGGGAATTGTGTAGCTTAATTAACATGTAAGTGGAACATTTGTCTTAGTTATCTAAGTAAAAAACCTCTTTTGAGGAATATGCCTCTATTTAGAAAGCAGTTTATTTGTTACAGGCTTGCAGGCCAAGCTCATTCAGACCTGGGCTCTGAACGCAGTGGTTAGGCAGCTCACTGGAACTTGTGCTCTTAAAAGAGAATTAACGACTTTGTTCTGAAAAGTGATAAACTGAGACTGCTATTGATGCCAGCAGTATGTTTTTGAAAGGGAAGCTAGTTGTACAAGCCTAGTATACACATGGCCCCCCCATCTCCCCTTGAAATTCCCTGTATAAAGCGATGAGCCTCCATTAATTTAGATGGAGCCATCTGAGGAACTAAGCCTTAATATCTCATCACCTCTCATCTCCAGTATTTGAACTATACGTGTGCTCAAGTGAGCTTAACATGAATGCCTTCTGCCTCCTTGTATTTGTTATTTCCATCAGTAACTATTTCTCAAGAAATAAAGGCCCTGCCACAAGCTGAAGTATCAGAGAGTACACATAAGAAATGGAGATATCCATAGAAATATAAAGAGATTTGTCTTCTTTCCAATTGGTGGCTGGGGAGACAGTGCCAAGTGAAGATGCTTTTGGAGGTAGAAGTGGTCAGAGAAGTTTACTCTGCTTTGAACAGGGGGCTTTTTCAAGAGATCTTCAAAAGTCTCCTTGAAGCCTTAGTGATCCTGTGAACAAGGCCACCCAGAAGCTGCTCTAGTCCTGGCTGAGTGTGCGGTTCAGGATGTATCTGCGAGAGCTGATATTAGCAGACAACACACAGAAAACCCATGTCTACTGTGCTTTCAGTAGGATGATAACACATTGAACGTTCTGGGGTTGAACACAGCAATATGGACTGTCCTGATGATGGAAGAAAGCTAGTTAGCGCCGTCTCCTATTAAGAGACTGCTTGCTTCTAGACCTCAGTTGCAGTGCCAGCCTCACTAATTTTCCTACTACTGCATATCAAGTTGTCTCTGATTTGCCATTGTACAGTACTTATGTGTTGTTCTTAGGTGGCACATCCTGTGCGTCTCCTTTAAGAAAAAGCTGTTCCTGCAAATTTTTTTCCAGTTTGTTTTATGGAACAGTAAGGTAGAATCTGCAGGAGAAAGCAATTTTTCCTGTTGCAATGCATTTGTAGGACTCATGGCATTGTCCCCACTGCCTCTAGCTAAATATTTTTTTTCCTCTTGGTTGTATATTTGTTATTGTTGTCCAAATACACAGATTGCTCAGTCTTTTCTGAGGATGTTGCAAAGTGTCGTGTTTACATGGCTTCTGCTATGAAATGTTAGAGGTCACAGCTTCCTGCAATGCATTCATTTTCCTTCCAATAAGAGGTAAAGAAAAAAATGAGACAACATTATGTTAAGCAAAAGAGGTCTGCTCCATATTCAAAAGGAAGTGGATTTAATTTTATCACGTCTTTCCAGAATTTCTGCATGGTTAGGAGTGCAGGTACACATTAAGTGTTGTTCGCTTTACACTGGATTAATAAGTCAGAAAATACAGTTTCTTACAGCATGCTGGAATTTCCCATTTGGCATGGAACAATGCAGAAAACAACAACACAGAGATGTCTGGAAGTGAAGGTACCATGAAGTCCTTGAATTCAGAGACTTTTGTTGAGGAAGGAAAGAGACATCTTTGGGTATCTGTGCAGTCTTTTGCAGCAGTATATATGCTAGGTTGACCATCTCTCACCAAAACCCATCTAGCATAGGCCATATGCAAATAAATGCAGACTGACTTTGAATTTATTTTCAGTTCAGAGTGATATAGATTAAGTTCATGGCTACAGGGACCATACAGCCCTCACTCCTGGTGTTTTGCACTGTAAATATTTTATGGGAAGGGAGGCATCTTCTGGTGGTGATGTTTTAAGCCTAAAAGCTTCCAGGGGAAAATCTGAGCAGTAAGAAAGTCTAACGAGAACAGAATAATGATTTCTGTCTTTGGCCCTTAATCTGTAGGGAGGACATCAGTGTCAAGGGATGAAGAACTGGCAAGCAACATAAAAAAAAACAAAAAACAACCAAACATCCTTTTTCTCATAGGAGCTGTAAGTCAGAAGGGATTAACTCCTTTTTCTTGAGGTCCAGAAGCTTTAAGTGTATGGCCAGGCTCCCTGTCCTTCACCTGCAGGTAGCTCATTAGGGGCTTTATAGGTACAAACTGGAATGACTTTCCCAAATACTTCTGAATTAGAGAAAAAACAAAAACCACAACAGGATGTCTCTTTCTTAATGGGGTCTTCACTTATGCATTTCCCTCCTCAGGGTTTTACAGTTTTTGCAAAGATTTCTTAGGCCTGTTATACTGCCTCCTGGAAATGGCTTAGAGATGTGGGTACAAAAACTTATCACTCAGCAGGGTAAGAAATCACAGCTGCATCTAATGTAGTGGCCAGCTGGGCAGCATTGGCTGGCACAGAGCTCCTCTTTCAGTCTTTTTAACACTGATGAAAGGCAAAAACCTGCTGTCCCCAGAGATGCCCGTGCCTCCCTTCCGTAGCTAGCAAGTGCATGTGACAGAAGGGGGTTGAGTCTTCTTGTGCCTTCTTAAACTGACAAACCCTAACTTGTTTGTTTAGAAGAGTAGTAACAAAAATATTGGTTTCCATAACACTAATAACGATTCTCTGACCCGAGGTTTATTCAGTGCTGTGATGGGCCATAAACTCAGATCAGTTGCTATTTTCGTCATGTGATATTTTCTCTTGGCTTAGAAGGAGAATGTGCTTGCTGCCATTCCTCTGATGTAACTAGGACCCCTGAGCCACAGAACTGATGCCAAAATACCAAGCTTTTAGCATCTACAGCCTTCATTTTGAAAGCTGAGGTAAAGAGTAACTCTACAAATCTCAAAATACAAAACAGAGCTAGTGAACAAAACAGGTGGGCAGGTGTGTCCCAATGAGGAGCAGCAGGGTGACGAGCAAACCCAGTGAAGTAAACACTAGGCAGAGTTATCGTGTGGTGTTTAGCTGTCCTAGGTTCTTTAGCAGTCATGCTTCTAAACTCTGTTCTCTACAAACATATTCAGAGTCAAAACTGTTTCTGGAATGGCCCTGTCTATAAGAAAAGACACAAAATAGGTCTAGAAAATATGTCATGCAAAGGAAGATTGAGTTCTGTTTCTTTAACCAAAATATATTGTTGAGGGGAGGCAGAATAATGTCAGGTGCTAAAAGGCTGCTTAGTGCAGAAGGGAATAATCATCCTTTCTGACCAGGGTGTTTAGGAGAACAGCCATGGCATAGTCTGCCTGAGGAGACTGTCAAATCTCTGTCACTGGAAGGCTTTACAAATAGATTAGATGAGTCTGTGAGAAATAGCAAACTCGGGTACGGGTGTTCCTGCCTTGGGGTGTGAACATGGACTAA